TGACCTTTCTTCTCTCCCTGTCTTTTTGTTTCCTCTCATCTCTTCTCTTCCTCTCCTGTCTTCCTCTCCCCCTTTCTTCCTCTCCTCTCCTCCTCAGATGTTGAGGACACAAAAGGTTGGGGTCGCGGTGACAGATGAAGACGTCACGGTACAAACAAATTCAAATAAAAATAAAATGTCATCTTGTATAAGGATTGACAGTATTTGGGGCAAACAAGGGTGTGTTTGATGTGTGTGTGTGTGTGTGTGTGTGTGTGTGTGTATGTGTGTGTGTGTGTGTAGGAGGGGGGTTTGATCCATGAGTCATGTAGAGGAAGGGAAGCACAGCCCTCCTCCATCACTCAGTGGTGGTTTTTGACACTCCAGGTGAAAAGCTCTCTGTCGTCACTGTGTTGGAGTAAAGCATCAGTTTATGCTACATACATTCAGATTTGTTCAGTGTGAGACATGCTGTCAGTCTGAAGTGTCACCGTTCATCTCTATGTGTGGTAGTGACCCAAGGGATGGAGCGTCTGTCGCTGTCAGTGAGACAGAGCTGCCAGCACTGTGTGTGTGTGTGTGGTGTGTGTGTGTGTGTGTCACAAACATCATCAGCTGCCACAAAACACAAAAGCTGCTGCAGCCGCAAACACACCAACAACATTTTCAACCACAACACGGTGAGCGCCCTGAAACTGACACAAGAAGTAAAAGGTTATCAGACGAGTCAAAAATAAAACTGAATACATCAATAAATAATGCACTTAGGTAAATAATTAAAACGTAGTGTAAGAATAAATATACTCTGGTATAGCATTAAAACATACGTTTCCATTAACCTCCAATCACTTTTCCAACTTTATCAGTTGAAAACACAAGTTTTGCTCCTAAATTGATTCTATATTTGGTTTTGATTATAAATTATTTTCCTTACCACATTTCCAATTTTCCACAAAAGAGGTGTGTGTGTGTGTGTGTGTGTGTGTGTGTGTGTGTGTGTGTGTGTGTGTGTGTGTGTGTGTGTGTGTGTCTAGATCAGTAATTGGTCCCAGGTTTGTCAGTGCACAACATCAGTGGTGACACACAGACCAGTGCAACTCACAGGACTGTGGGGCCAGTGAACACTAAATGAGATTCCATTCCACCTATTTTCAAGCACATTTTCAATTTCCACAAGAAAGACCCTCCAAATATTTAATAATGATTATATTGTTACTTATCATTTATTATAACGTAAAAAAAAATATTTATTTGGTAGAGGTCCAAAAGTTGGTGTTTCGAAAAAAAACTAAATGAGACGAAGTGCAATGGAAACAGACTTAACAAATAAATCATGACATACACATAAAGCATGTGACATTTTACGGTTAACAGTGGGGTTAACAAACTTGAAATAATGTGCGCAAACACACTCATAACAGGAGTTTTTCCCAGTTCTTCCCATTATCCACCACTATACACCGTGTGAGTGCAGCATAAACTGAGCAGAAGCTTTTTAAAGGCAGCTACCAAGCAGCAGCTAACTTTGTTAGCATTAGCTTGCCGGTTAACTACTATTTATTGATGTATTCTTTTCTTTTGTCTCTCATAGTCGTTTTACTGTTTATTTTTCTGGTTAGTTTCAGAGCTCCATACTGGTCTCCCTCACCTCTGTTCTCACCACGATATAATCATATAAATGTCATATAGTCTATTCTAAATTGAGAAATACATCCTGAATGGCTGAAATGAATTCCCATCTGCCTGAGTAAATCAGTTTAGGGTTATCTGCACCGGAAGCAGCCTCCTTTAAGCATATTTGCACTGATGGATATTGCAAGATAAAGACAGCCTTTTCCATGCAATCATTTTATCTTTAATTATGGGCTTTATTAATGGCACTTTTTATATGGAAATTTGATTATATTAACACTGCATTCATATTGTAGGTTTATTTAAAGCAGCACTGCTTTTAATTTGGCACTTTTCCTTCAAAAAAAAAGGGCCGAAGTGGCTATTTGAATATCTTTGATGTTCCTTTCAGCGTGTCTTCCTCATGTAGATTTACAATCAGCTCTCCGCCTGTCTGTCGGCTTTCTGCAGGAGAGATAGCGCTCTCTTCATTACGCGCTTCATTAATTAAAATGCTAATTGATTCTGCGAGGGCCTTTCAGACCGAGGGCCAAGTTCTGTCTTCCCCCATTGATTGTGTGTGTGTGCTAGTGTGTGTTTTGTGCACCTGCTGGCTCCTGGAGTGACACGTCCTGACAGAACAGCCTCTCCTGCCTGTCTGTCTGCCTCAAGTGTGGAACTGATATGGTTTGAGTGCCACAAGCCAGAGAGATAAGTACTACACACAAAAAAAACCACCGAAAACCAGGCACAGTGGGTTGTTTCAGGGCCATAAAAGCACAGAAAATGTGAATTAAGGCAGTTGGCATAGTGTATGTAACTGGGTGGAAAAACAGAGGATGCAGGGGCAGTTAAATGATCCGTGCACCGTTGCTAGGAGACACCAGGGCTGGATGGTAGAGATAAACGCTGGGATCCACCCCTGGCGGCGAGGAGAGGGTGGGAAACAGTGAGGGGGGAGGCAGAGGGTAAGAAAGGGAGAGTCTAGATAAGAGTGGAGGGGGGTGAGTCGTGTGACAAAGACAGAGGCATCCTCGTTCATGGCAGATAAGCTCTCCCTCCATCCCCCATTTTCCTTCTCATCTGTTATTTACAAAGTTGGTCACTTTTCTTTATTCCTCCGTCCTCCACGTCTCCAGATTGACACATTTTCATCATTTAGCCGCTTAGAGACTCTGTCCAGATATGTTTTATGACATAACAATGCTTTGAATACTCCCTGTCTGATAATAACATATAAAATACATCTACATCTTCTTCCTCACTGAAAAATCCATGTAAAAAATAAAAGTTTTAGTTGAAGTGGGCGTGGCTCAGTTGGAAAGGTGATATAGGTATTTCTGTGCACCAATTAGGGGTCACATTCGGGTCTGAAAAGTGAAGCCAATGCAGAACTGCCTTAAACTTGCATTCTTTCAAATAGCCATCAGGGAGCGACTCCTGTGGTTGCAAAAAGAAGTCTGATTGTATAGAAGCCTATGAGAAAATGACTTCTCACTTGATTTATTACATAAACACTATAAACATGAGTTTATGGTCCCAACCGCTAGTTTCAAGTCATCTACAATACCGCATGATGTTCATGTTACTAAATGATGGTCCTATTTAGAGTAAAAATGATGATAAAGCAGGGTATGCTTTAGGGCGTGGCTACCATGTGATTGACAGGTCACTACCACCACGTTGTCTGGTCTGAGAGTTCACCGTGTTTTTCGTCTTACAACTTAAACCCTTGCACTGTGTGCTTTCAGTTCATTGAAGTTAATTCCAACCTTTGGTCTCCTAAAAATGCCAAATTCAGTGTTGTACAAATTCAGCTCCACCCTCTGGTGTCACTTCTGGTTTAAAAAAAACAAGATGGCAACGGCCAAAAAAACAAGATGACGAAAGCCAGAATGCCAAACGTTAGGCTTCAAAATGACGGTGAGGTGATGTCACTGTGACTATGTCGACTTCTTATATACAGTCTGTGACAACATACTAGTTCAGCTCATTAAAGCCCCCACATTCCCAGAAACAATACTCACAGTAAATTACACTTTGACGTGAGAATGTAACACAACTGCTTTAAACTGCTTCTGTCACAAACCCTCACTAGATCATTTCAATTAGGGATTAGTGTACCTCACTACAGTCCTGTAAATCTGTTCCCAAAACCAGAACATGTTTTTTTTCCCTTTCATCTCTCCGTTTCCTGCTTCACTTGAACATATCATTGACAGCAGAGATTAGAGTCTAAATTTAAAAGTGAAACTTTTACTTTTGTGCAAACTGTCTCCTCAGTGATGGAGCCTCTATAGCTGGTGCCAGGACGGAAACCACGGCTGGCGCCATGTGAGCACCGGAACAAGCTTCAGCTCGCACCTTCATCTCTCATCAATCCGGTCGACTCCGGTCAGCCCCACACAAAAAGACAAAAGCAGGAGAGGAGTGCTTCCTCCATCAAATGTGAGGGAGGCGGTGAGCTCTGAGTGCGCATCGTGATTAGTCGTGAATGGGACGCAGCGGTCTGATTGGTGGAGAGAGCCGGGGGTCAGGCGTTCTGCCAGCAGCTCATACAAGGCTGCTGATTGCTTTTCATCCACTGATTACAGTAATTTAGATCTGCAGCAGGCCAAAGGGGCCTGCGTCTGGTAGGCTGGCTGCTGCTGCTGCTCTGTCTGGGGGGGGGGGGGGGCTGCAGTTTGCTTTGCATGGTGATTTTTTGCTTTTGCTTTTGTGAGAAATGATTGAATGAGGCTGAAAAACATACCGTATTAACTCACAACAGCCGTGTTGGAAAAAAAAAGGTGTCATTAATTTTTTCTGTACTGAGAGAAAGTCTCCAAAATGATTATCTGTCATTACATCCTGTTTTCAAGTCTGAAGATATTAAATCCATCATGATTTCATTTAGTAATCATCTACTTTTTGGATTTAATCACTTCGTTCTCAACCACGATCACTTCCCCACATGGTGCATGTTCCAACAATACAAAGCCCATAGCTCTCAACTCTCATTTCGTGAAAGAAAAAACAATGAACGTTATATCATACATTAGTTTTCTTCCTTTTGTCTTTCACGCGGCTATTTGGACACGCTGAGACCTTGAATAATCAAAGTTGATGAGGCAGTTAGTTGCGAATGGTTTTTCCATTCGGTGGCGATGATTAATCAAGGAACTGAGCAGTGCTGGCCTCTTCACCCGCACACATTACAAGGTTAATTCTCTATTGATTACGGCAGCAGAATAAACCAATACTTCACATCACATTTTCTCTGTTTTCACATGTGTGTGTACAGTATGTTTGCTTCTTTGTGCAATGCAGCTGTAGATTCACAGCTCACAATGATAAATGATGCTTTTGTTGATACCATCTTTCTACCACACCCATTACCCCATATTGAAAAAATAAATCACGACACAACATTAGATTCACATTTATTGACAAAACCATTTTTTCAAAAGTGTTTCTTTCTACAGCAAATACTGTTTTCACAGAAGTATTAAAAACAACGACTCGTGTAAAGGGCATAAATATACATTCTGTCGTCTGCTGACGTTTAAAATCTTCACCATAATAAAAGCTGGACATTGATGAAGACAACAAGGGGTCCACAACAACACTTAGACCACAACTGGAAACAAATTTGACTGTAACTGTCCGTCATTTCGTCTCCCTGGGTGATCATGTAGACAAACACTGTTTCAGGAAGCTTTTTCTCTCTCACACAAACGCATTCACATATGTACAAACACAAACAACAGAAAACCTGTGCAGCGTGTGAACCGGGGGCCCTGTTTTGGTGACTCCGCATCATGTTGTGTTTACCCGATACGTGTCCAAGTTCTCGGCTCCTCGGGGGTGTTTGGACTCACACTTTTTGCCCTCTGGGATTCTGCTTCAGAGGTGACCTAGTTCTCCTGATTGTCAGCAGAAGGCGGTTTCATCAGCTCGCTTTGTGCCGAGGCACTGAACTGTGCCTGGGACCCTGGGACAGGCCAATTGGACTTGTGTAATGAAGCTCATCACGCACACACACACACACACACACACACACACACACACACACACCGCTGCTGTCGTCGGGTCCAGGGCAGCAGAATTTATAACAGCCATTCATTACCTTCTCCTTTATCAAAGAAATGTGATTCCTCGCCGTGTTTCTGATGCATTCCACACTGCCATTATGGTCCATGATTATGAGGTGACAGAGACGGAGCAGAGGGTGTTGATGGATGTTAGTGCAGGGCCGGCTGTCATTACTCCATCTATTGAGCGGAGAGTGCGAGACACTTCCCACAAAATGGCCACGGAGTACCAACATGGCTCCGGCTGCGAGGAGTAAATGATTCGCATCTGACGATCGGCGCAAAAATGTTAAACACATTCATTTGCTGTGTGCGTGTGTTTGGAACACTTTGAGCGTCGCAACGCAATCAAAACAGTTCTACTGCAGTGATTTCAGCGCCTCTTCACAGCCGAGTGTACGAATGAATGAATATTTACACATGGCATTTATCTTACTGTACTGTTTAGGGTGTATCGAAAAACAACTCAGCATCAAGAAATCTGTACAAGAACACTGCAAATATCCACACTGAGTCTGGCTGACTTCACACAACATACATACACTGAGTGCAGCAACTCCACATTATCCTAAAGTCTCTCTAGCCTACACAATACACATCACATACAGAAGCAACAATGGCATTACATTCATATAAATAACAACAATAATCCCAGTTTACCCCAAGAGTCACTTCAGCACTTTCGGCTCCATTCATGTGTTTAAAAATGAGAACTGAAGACCAGCTTCACTGTGTCCTTAACAAGTCCCTTTAGAGGTGCAGTAGCTGTCCTTGAGGTTGTGACACCAAATCCCTTGGTATCAAAAAAAAAAAAAAAAGTCTCTTTGAGCGCGGTTCTGTACAGGTCAGGGGTCCTTGGAAGTCCATGGATTTTTTTTATTTTTATAAGGCCCAGGAGATCGCAGGGTTTCACAGATAAGAAGATATCAGTTAATCTCTTTGAATGGCACAGAGAAGAATCCTTCGCCTTTGTTTACTTTGTGATCAAAATGTCTGAGCTGGAAAACGGTCAGCGGAGAGATAAAAAGCAGATGAGCGGTATCAGTCAGTCTATTTACTGATTGATCAGCTGGTAACTGAAGTCACGCTCTGTCTCCAGGTTAGCTGCAGCCACTAGCATTCAGTTTTCCATTCATTTACTCGTCGTTGCTGTTTTCTAATTATCAGTAATTAAAGAAGCAGGACATAAAACTACAGTTTTCTGTCCAAATCATAAGCTAAATGGATAACTATAGTGGTCACTGTATTTATATGCCGTTCCCTGAGTAAACTTGGTTTCAGAGGGAATTACAGACACCTGATTTCCTCAGGTAAATCCCTGGAGAAAGCAGATTTCTCTGCCATGTAAGTCTCCTAAGTAACTATTCTGGAGATCTCGAAATCTCCAAAACAGCTACTAACGGCAGTTTCCAAGGTCAAGAATGAATCTCAGAATTCTCTTGTAAAAAAATGTACTGTCTGCCGCAGTATTAGACACCAATTTAACCAATATGCTTGTAAAGCTCCTGAATCATGTTTCGGCTTTTTGCAAAAATCTGATGAATGAAAACTATGACATGAAAACACATTGTCTGGCTGGCCTGAGAAGGGGGGCGGGGCCTGTGCTCTCTGTAGCCAGAGGTGCTCTGCGTCCCCATCTGCTCGCTCATGGTTGGAGATGACTGCTTGAGAGAAAAGATGGTGAACCAAACTGCCCAGCCTCTCACTTCTCTTTGCTACGCAGCAGGTTTTCTGTCGGAAGTAATGAGTCACATCAGCAGCTTTGTGCTTGCAGCGTCGCAGCCCTATGGTAACGCGGGCGAGGAATGATGGGGTGAAGGGAAAAAGAAGAGGAAAATAGAGAGAGACAAAAAAGGGAAAGAGACAGAGGGCAGAGTGTGTTCATCTGATCATAGACAGTTCTTAGGCTCTGCTCCTGGCAGATTCTCCTTCTATCTGTTTCTGCTTCCTCCGTCTGACCATCTGTCTCCTCCTCCCTTGCTGCTCCAAGGATGAAAAGGACAAGAAGAGAGGGCTGCGTGGATTTGATCTTTTTTTTTTAGGCTCTGCCTTTGTCCTTCTTCAGCAACCTGTTCCCCGATCTGTTCGTCCATCCTTCACAGCTGTCTGCTGGCGTTGGGTTTCATCTTGATGACCCACTCTCCTCCGGAGTTGCTGTTGTACAAATCCAGAAGGTGTGTGTCGGGATCCAGGCAGTGCTCACCTGAAGGAAAACACACACAGAAATGACTAAAAGCCTGTATTGTTGGAATTTTAAAATACATAAAATGTAGGGTTCATTTTACACATTAATTGTGGATGCAGCTGATGATTATTTTTCTTATTGATTCATCTGCCGATTATAGTCTCAATTAGTCACATTCTTAAGGATGTCAATCCCAGTTCTTAGAACCCAAATTTATGTTTTAAATGTGTTATTTTGTTTGATACGAATACTGAAAAGCTATTAATTTCTTGCAAAATGACATAAGTGATTTTTCTCAGCTCGAGCATCACTTCAGGATTTGTGTTTTCTATCAAAACAGTGATCATAGTTCAATAATCTCTACTAAGGTAAAGATTCAGAAGTTTTACAGAAGCTGAACTGACTGAACAAGTTTTTTTTTCGTTCACTGTGTCAGCTTTCCTGTGAGCGCACAGACACGTGTGTAATAAGCATTTATCTGCTCTGATAACTGCAGATGCACCGCTCAAATCTCTGCTGATGTTTGCACAGTTCATTACCTAAGACCTCGCTACCCTCATCAGCTCACTGAGCAGAAGGACATGCAAATGTCAGCGCCGCTCCGGCCAGAGAAAACGCTGAAGCCACTTCCAACTCACCAATATTCCCTCCCACCTCGTACAGGGCGCAGTCAGGATACGCCACAGAGCCGTTTCTGTTGAGAGACAACTGTAAATATGTTTCTCTGAAAGGAATACAAAATTTAAGTTAAGAGTTGTCTTTAGTGCATGTGGTCATCTACCTTCGCATTTTGCCCTTTCCGTTGTCCGGGCTGCGGACTGACTGGCGCTGGAACTGGGCGAGCAGGTCTGAGGCTCGGGAGTTGATGTTGAGCTGGAACTCCATGGTGCTGCTCACCAGATCCCCGTCCTGGATCTTCACTGTGCGACACGGCTGCAGGGCAAAAATAAATCCCCGTATTAGCTTAGGATACTAAAACAATGACGTTTCCACAGCAAACACCTTGAAACATTTGCATGAGAGTATGCAGCTTTAACAGTGATACAGTTTTCCCAAGTATAATCAGTGTTTGAGGAGCTTTTCACCACAAGAACTGAGTTTTGTTGTCGTCATTGATTGCTGTAATTATACTCTATTGGACATTGCTGTCACCTGGGTGTAGTGCGAGCAGAGTGTATGAAGCAGAGCGGGGTTGTAAAACCAGCTCACCTCTGAGGTGTTTTTATCAGGTTTTTCTCGGCTGTCTGTGTGGATCTTCCTCAGCAGGTTCTTGAAGCGGCGATCGTAGAACTGGTAACGCCGGTTACTGTTCTCATTCAGCTTACGCACCTGGCTCATGAGGAAATTGGGGATCTGAAGAGAAAGGGAACATGACGCAACATTTGTGATGGATGTATTTTCATGACAAGAAATATTTACACGATTACAATTTTAGCCAGAAAAAAAGCAAATAAGGGAATTTTGTAAATAACTATTTCCAAAGTCAATAATTGATCTTCAAGTTAAATTGAATTACTGCTTTTGCCGATATTCAATTTCCAACTTGCTTGATGACAACTGGGATAGTAAACACCACGTTTTTGTTACGGGTGTTGCTTTTGTTACAAAAAAAGGTTTAAAGAAGAAAAATTGTTTGTTATTAGTAGAAACCGAACAATAGCCTCTAAATAATAACATTATTACATCTAATGTTTCTGCAGTAAAACCAACAATCCTCTGCTCATGAGGTTGAATATGTGGGCTGTCTTACCGTCCAGAGCAGGTCCTGGTAGCGGATGAGGAGCCTCATGACATCAGCTGCCTTCTCCGCATGTCCTTTCTCTGTCCCTTCCGTCAGTCTGCTGGGGACGGCTTTATGGAGGAAGAGGTTGGGAGCCATGATGGTCGCTACGGCCCACAGGTTCATCCTGTTCCTCTTCTCCCTAGACACCACCTTACTGAGGAACTCAAGGAGGGCCTGAAGAACACACAGGTGCAGACACGCATACGTGAAATGAAAGGTGGATCTTTTATCATAATATATGTAATGAGGGGACGAACATTTCAGCTTTTACAGAGTTGAAAGACGCTCACTTTCAACTGAGCAATGAGTAAATGTTGAGAGGCCACTTACACCGACGCACAAAATGGAGTAAAGGGAATTAGCACAGTGACTGAATCATCTGTAACACCTCGACTGAGAAGTATGTTAATGCACAGTAAGTTTCAGCTGCCTCCACTGGAGTCAAAGTAATTCGTTCAGCTGGGTCTTATGCTCGTGGATGCTATAAGCGGAGCGGACTGCACATTTGTGTTGGTGGAAGTGAGTCATGGTTGATGCAAGCCGTTACATAACAGAGCAGGGTGTTTAAAATGTGGATTAGGGGCAGAACAATATAGTAATGCATTGTGAATCCGTGCTTTGGTATGTCGAGTTTCATGAGAGCGTAAACTGGGATGAATTTCTGACAACATTAAGTGACAGCACGTGAAGAATGTTGAATAAAGGTTTAAGGCCAGTTTAACACTTTTGGAGTCATTTATGGATTCTGTGTTTTCAATCCTTGGAGATGAAAAGAAATGTTCAAACTTGACTCTTTCATTTTGGAAGCTAGTTTTCAACCTCTATTGTGCCTGTAGATCAAGTGTGTGCATGGTGGAGGAAGCATTCACATCCACTCTGTAAAAATACTATTTAAAGATGTTAGCTATGTAAAAGTACGTGAAGTATATTAACAAAAATATACCAAAAGAAAAAGTGCTTGGAAAAATGGCCTGTTTGAGTGTTAAACTATCATATATTACATTATTAGGTTATTATTACTCATGCACTTATGTGAAAAGGAATATTTTTCTGTTGTAGTTAATGAAGATGGAGTTCATATTTGATATACCCTGCGTGTGTGTGTGTGTGTGTGTGTATGTGTTCCTTCAGTGATACCTTCAGTGTGTTCCTATTGGGCTCAGGCAGCAGCAAGATGAGCAGGTTCAACATGTGGAGTTTCTGTCTCAGCTCTGTGATGTCTGAAGGCAGAGAAAGCAAAAATAAGACAGGTCTAACACACGCACACACACACACACACACACACACACACAATCTTCTTCATTTCCTCTGCATTTGGCCGAGAGTAATGGGATACTTAAAGATTAATGACATTGTGACAGGTGGCCATTAGGTTTGTTAGCTTATGTCTCTGTGGTCACACGTCGTTTATCACTTTGAAAGGATTCTCTTCGCAAACTAAACATCGGTGAGTCATCCATCAGATCATATTAATAATATCAGTCCATTATTTCATTAAGGGGAAACCAATGTGAAAATAGCAGATCTTTTCACAGCTGCTCTTAAAAGGCTATCAACTTGTTCATCTGAATGCTGCGTTCTCAGCTGGAGCAGAGAAGGTAAGCGTCACGGAGAAGAGACTCAGGTAATTATAATGTGAACCCTGCTGAGCTGTCTGGAAAAGTGGGCAGCAGACTGTCATGTAGCATGTAATGGAAGTCATGTAGAGGAAGAGAAGAGGAATTAATGTGTATGCCTGATGAGTACGGTAAATATGCAACTTGCCGGATAAGAAAGCACATACACAATAAAATCACTTCAAATACTTCACCCACCTGCATCCTGATATACTGTTTGGTCACAGCTCTGTTCATTGTGTAACTATAGAGAAGCAGTGTACGCTGCGATGCGTCCTGAAACTGAAAGATTTAAAGAGATGCAAAATTGTTGCACACTGACCTCTAACGGCGCTGAAGGTGTTGAGGTACTCGGCGGAGAGCAGAGGAGCGGGCAGTTCCCTGATGAACTTCTTAAGCAGCGCGGCGGCGTCGTTGGGACTCACCTCGTCCCAGCTGACCTGCCCCGAGTAGAAGCTGGTCTCCAATGTCTGCTGCAGCAGCTGCAGGTAGAAAACAATGACCACAGATACACTGTCAGTGTTAATTCCACCTCCCGGACATTCAAATTATTAGAATTACTTCAACACTTTTGAATTCTTTTTTATATTTTATTTATTGTGTGAATGACTCCTGAAGAGTATATAAGCTCTGTTATCTTGTCTACCCACATTGTGTCTAGTTATTTAACTTGGGAACAAGAAAAACTATCTTCATGGTATATTATTTTGTAAAGATGAAAAAGCAAGTGCCAAAATATTAAGTTGAGGTAATTCTCTTTAGATGATCATTGTTGCCAAATCCATTATCTGTCAAAGACACTCGATTGTTCAATCCCAGTAGTTTCTCCTGACGCTAAATGGCGCCCTCTTCTGTCTGCTTTAGTTGTATTGATTCACCAGCTACTGTGCATGTGCTGAATTAAACACAGTATCAGAAGGGGAATCTGGCAACAGAAGCTGAAAAAAAAACCCACAATTGATTTTGTCTCATTGGACTTTTCTAAATGTCAACTATACTTAAACTCAGTGAAGCTGTTTGATTTGTCTCCCTGCTGTTCAGGCACTTCTGACATTTAACAATGTCAATATCTTGGCTGCCCTTTAGGTCATGAAACCTTTTTTTGTTTTTTCATGTCTTTGCTTCAAACGTACAATTACAAAAAGGAATGTGGTAATTTGGTGCATCTGTCAAAGTATGTATGACATAAATCATGTGTATTCAAATGTTGTACCTTGATTCTTGACTGAGATCCTGGAACCCGCAGGATCCCCTCTGAATCGACACCTTTCTTTTCTAAAAATGACAACAACTGCAAAGAAAGAGAGAGAGAGAGAGAGAGAAAGAGAGAAAGGGAGCGAGAGGGAGGGAGGAGAGAGAAAGACATTAGCAGAGAGTCAGGCATCGGTAGATAAGAATCTCTTGCTCACCTCTGCTGGTTATTCTCAGTAACTGCTGCTACGTACAGGGTGTGGTCAAAGCTTTTCACATTCAGAGGACACTGAGGTTGTTTTATGTGCTTCTACCTGAAGGCATGTTTTGCAGGATCAACAAAAGCAAAAATGTGCTGAATACATGCTGTGCAAAATATGGTCAAAACTGTCTTGTATCAGACCAAGGGAGGAAAACAGATGTGGTATATTATAAGCACATTAGATTATTGGCTAAATTAACTCCCAAGCCCACGTAGAGTACAGATAAAACTGCTACGTTCAGATAAAAAGCATGTGGAACCATTTTCATCACACACTTACTGATTTCTAAGGTCATACAAAATGTTTCGGGTTCTTACCGCCTGCATGAAGAGAGGGATAGTGCTGTTGGGCTTAATTTTCTGATCGTTCTCCAGCAGCGCGGCCAGCGGCACACCGTAGAGCGGGCTCTCTGTGAAAGACTCAACGTGTCATTCAGTCATCTCACATTGACATTCAGCCAAAGTTGCATCAGGGAGACATTTTCCTGTGTTGTGTTGGTAAGTGTGTGTGTACCGACATACCTGCGGTGTGTCATACTATGGCTAATCAGTTATGGCTGATTAATGTATTACTGAAGAATGTGTCACCAAAGTTAAGTTTCAGTGTTGTTATGTATACAGAAACTGATACTATGAAAAATATTTATTAAAGAGGCAGGAGTATATTTAGATTTAATTCCAGACTGTAGGGAAAAAAGGAGGAAGTCTCTGTAGAAATGAGAAAAAGCTGTACTTGTGTGTGTGTGTGTGTGTGTGTGTAAAGTGCTTTCTTCGTGTGTCAGTGCTGCCATACCTGGGATTTTCCTCTTGCCGGTTTTGTGCCTTTTAACCTCCAGCTCCAAGAGGTCGCACAGCGCCGTCATGTCGATGAGAGCCAGCTGACGCACCTTCTTCATGTCAGAGTGGGAGAGATCCTGAATACGAGTCACTCCGAGGCGACACTTGGGGCAGATCACCCGCTGAGAAGGTGAAGGCGGTGAAAAGTGAGGAGAGGGGGATTGGAGTTGAGAGGTGGCAAGTGGAGGTGAAGAGGTAAAGAAAGACAAAGACGCAAAAAAAAAAGCACAGGAAGGGAGAATGGGATAAAGAAGAAACGGTCGACAGTGTCAAATCATTTACACAATACTCATTGTAATAGAATGGACATCAGCCATTCCCTTGATTAATACTCTAAGCAGTGTGGCAACAGTATCCTGTTTAATCAACACGTTTGAGAATGCAAATTCTTCCCTTTTGCTGAGGACACGTATTCCTGAAATAGAAGAATAAATCTGCTGGACTCAGTGACTCAACAACTATTCCTTTGTTGGGAGCTAATTCCCTCATTCCTGTATTTTGCTTAACCCTGTTATCTAACCAACAGCAGGGCCGATTAGAATTGGCGAACAATAACATTTGTGTGTGAGCGTGAGTCTTAACAGGTTTACATGAAAATGACCCAAGAATATTTAGGTCCAAACAGAGGCTCAAATGTACAGTGAAAATTTGGTTGAAATATCCAACTTTATCCAAGAGTCCAAAAAGCCCCAAATTACTGAGATTTATTTTTCCTGCATTACCAAAGATGTATTATAAGTATATTCCATCCAGGTACAAAGGCCAAACTGTTTTTATTCATAATGTATGTACCTCGCCTTGCCATAAACTATGTGATTATTATCATGTCCTTCTGTAAATAGATGTCCGATGTTCTTTCACACCCACCGAAAGCAAATGATTATAGGAAGTACACACTGTGACACTTATATCAGTATTCCGCTTTTGTGCCCAATTTGCAAATTGTCTTCCCATTTTATGACATCACTGGAACATTTACAAAGTTCCCAATTTGAAATAACATTTCCTTGAAGGGCAGCGAGAGCTACAGTTGTGAGAAGGAGAGGTGGAAGTGTTTTGGTGCTTACAGGCAGGGTGCCATCCTCTTTTCGGCGTTGGCTGTAGTTCTGCGGAAGTTTGGCCTGCTTGAGGAAGATGACGGCCTGTTCGCAGTAAGCCACGTCGGTGATCAAGAACTCCTCTTTCGGAGCGCCTCTATGATGCTCCGGCGTCACAGCTGAGTGGGGAAACACCCATTAACACACGCAAACGCAAATCTAATAGTACAAATGAGGAAGTCAACTGTGAGGGAAGTCATAGAAATCTAATTTAAATGCACACGAGAGAACAAGAGGAAGAAAAATGTACCCACATGCTCTTTTTATCTTTTATCTCCACAAAACATAGCAACAAAATAAAAACAAAACAAAAGAAACATTTGGTAGAAGTATTTAGAGAATCTGTTTAGAGTCAATACTCATATAGAGAAGTTTGACCAAATACAGATGTCACCATTTACTGTGGCACCTGTAACATTATGGCCTTTTCTCCACTGTCACAGCGTCAGCAACTGCATTTGTTTCCCTCATTAGTTTTTCCTCAGTACAAAAACCTAAATACTATTCGAAACTTTGCGATTTGGCCAGTGAACTCAACACTGTGAGGACAGGGACTTTCTACAGCAGCTGCATGTCGACATGGGGAGAGTTATCCGGGGATTAATCTGAACCAATTAGAAGATAGATGACGGGGCTGTGGCCTGATCCCAACAGACGATCCCTCATCAGGACCTCACAAATCTGCTGCTCACCTGACTTCTTCTTCTTCATATATGTATTTTTAAAGAGACGTGTGGCTGTTAATTTGTAGTTAAAACTATGAGTAGTTACTTGCTCGTTTTATTTTTGGCTTACTGTAAAAGTATTACTGTATGTAGCTCTTACCTGAAAGTGGTGTTTTGGCAACCGATGCCATGCTGGCTTGGGGAGAGTCTTCGCTATGCTGGGACTCAGGAAGAAGGGTCTGGTGAAAGAGAGCATTTATTGACACGTCACAAACGCATGTCAAAGTCAAGTCAAATTTTATGCAGCCCAATCTAGGCAAATCACACATTTTCCTCAGGAGGCTTTACAATCTGTATACAGGATACAACATGCTCTGTCCTTAGACCCTAGATTGAAATAAGGAAAAATTCCCAAAATGGGGAACAAAACTGTAATAAACCTCAGGAAGAGCAACTGAGAAAAGATCCGTCTCGCGGGATGGACAGACATCTATGTCCCAGTACACAACGCTTTCTCTAAGGAACTACTTTTGTTAAAAATATCAGTCCTTTAATATTTTGTCCACCACTGGGAATAGTAGTCGTGTTTCATAGTGTCCACTGAGCAGATGGAGATGGATATGAAAAGTGTTTCCTTTGATAAAGGACTGATAAGGATCAGAGGAGCAGTGTATCTAGTCCCCTCTCAGGGCTGCTCAGGCAGACAGGGAGGACAAAGCATGGCCTTTACATGTGATTTGCCTTTATTGTCACAGGTCAGCCCCTCTGCACAGAACATGGCAACTCACAGCACAACACACTAGAACAATAGAAAGTCCCTCGCTGAGTCCTGACAGTCACCAGGGAAATGGATATGTCATATTTCTCTGCATACAGCTTTGACAGCATGACAGTAAGCCTGAGACTGGTCTTTGCATTTTCTTGTGGGTAGATGTAAACAAAGGACATAGGAGTTGTTACAAGTCACTCAAATTTCGTACTTCATTTTTTTTCTCCTATTTTTACATTATTTGAAGGCATGGAGAGCTAGCTTTCTCTTGCTTTTCCCCCTCTGTCGGGGTGTCAGGGGTCGTGGTTAGTTACAGAACAACTTTTTCAAAGGTGCTTCAAAGTCCTGACCTGAGCGATGGGGGAGTGGAAGATGTCGCGAACGTCTCGCGGGGCCGGTTTGTTCCTCTTGCGGAGGGACAGCGTGTAGGAATCCAGTCGACGCTGCACGGCCTCGGTCTGGGTCCGGGTCAGAGTGGACAGCAGCACCGCTTTGTCTACATCCTCGCTGTCCTCGCTGATGAGGGTCGATAAGCCAGCATCGGCCAACCACTGCTCCTCCTGTTCGCCCTCTGAGACACAGAGATACGACAGACAGTGAAAGATACAGACAGGCAACAACACACAGACACCAACAACATAACAAGAAAAAATGCAATTTGAAATGCACAGTTTTACTGCAATAAATTATAATTTTGATGTAATGTAATGTGTAAAATTAGGTGTAGATGACTGGACTCGGTTTGTGTATAAAGTCCCTCCTCAGTCTGTAGTAACTATAACTAGGAAACATCTGTAGCACAGTCCAGTCAAAAGCAATGGATTGTGTAAACAGGAAGTCAATGCAGCACCACAGGCTGTAACAATATTCAACATAACTGCCAGTCTTTATAACAACGTATGAATTTCTTTTGTTTATGTCTGCATAGATGATAAAATATGTGTGTTTCAGACTGAGTGGTGTTATTCGGTAATTAGCAAAACGTAGCATAAGGCTTTTTGTTATTTGTTGACTGTAATTTGAAATCTTCATCGTTATTAAACAGTCATGTGTCAGGTCAGATGTGTCAAGCCTATTCTCTTTACCCGTTCACTCTATATTAGCTAACGTCAGCTTTGTCTGTCAATTCAGTTAGATACGCAACAGTTACACTTGGCAGCTAATGAGTGGAATTGTTTAGCAACAGCTAATCTCTCTTTAGTGATTTGTAAACCTCCGCTTTGTAATCACTCGTGTTATAAGTGTGAACCCAATGAAGAGCTGGTGCAGCCGGATCTTGGACACTAAATACAGTAGGTAGGAAGATGTTTCAGAATAATAAAGAACCAAAAATGGTTTACTCTCTCAAAAGAATAATGGGGCATAGACTCACTCACACACCAACATTCAGACTTTAGAGGGTTTTTCTCATTAATTCATTTAAAAGAGTGTTTCTGTTTCTGTTAAAGGGTAGAATGAACACAATCACAAGTAATAAAAGAGCATCCCCATCATGAATGGCTTTGTGGCTCGTGCACATAAAACAGTCCCTGCCACAAAGTGCTTGATAGCGTTGCCATGGTGACGAGCGGTTTTTTGTTTTTTTTTTGCTGCATGAGTGACACCTGATCCGTTGCCATGTTGAATGCATCGTTTCACGGAGTGTCTCAGCAGCAGCTGTGTTAAGCACGGGTGGTTTGTATTTCTACCACACGGACTCATGATGACCTCAGCTCTTTCTGTCCATCCTACATCACTCGCACAGCGGCGGTCATGCGGTATTTACCTTCTGATTGTCTGGAGTCTCTCCTGCTGCAGTCGAGGTCTGTGTAGCCACTCCCCTGTCGAATGGTCTCCACCTCACTCCAGAAGGAATCCAGGCAGAGTTTGTCGGGGTGCTGCTCCTGGTCCTGGGAGGATGGCGCGTGTGCGCCGTGTGAGTGCTCAGCTGCTGCCTGGTCCTGCGGGCTGGCCCAGGGCTCCACGCTCATCTCGGTGGGGCTGGGATTTCTGGTACAGACATACACACACGTAAAGAAATCGCACGCATGCATGCAAACGAGCGGACAGAAACGCAAAGACACATACAAACACAGGAGGAACGAAGATCGGAGCGATGCGAGGGAGGTTGAGTCAGCCGGGGGGAGCCCACAGAGATGGAGAGACAAGAGGAGCGGGATGGGAGAGGGAGGGCCGGAGAGAGGAGCGAGATGGCGAGAGCGGACACAAAGGGGGGTCTCTATTGTTCTTGCAAAATGTGTCCTGGAGGCATAGTACCCTGTAGATCCACTAGATGTCACTGTACCAATGTGAGATCGGTTTTCCTATGGGTCACACCCCTTCATCTACTGAAACAGATACACGACTGCAGCCCACCAACACCGGAAGAATATTTAACGAAACACAATAAAAAATTCCAAAAATTCAGATTGTTTTCTGAAAACCAGCATGAAAAAAATGCAGGCAGCGTTTCTTGTGAGTGACGCAACAAGAGATGGTACAACTGTTCCCTTACACAACAATGGGACACACTCAGCTGCAGACACACTTTTGCAACCTCTAAAATGTGACATGGTGATCACAGGAAGTGGTCGGCTGAGTCACTCCATCGGTGTGCGGTTCAGTCACATTCCTCTGGTCAGCAAATCTCAAGAGACATACCAAACCACACGCTTCCATGCCGGAGGAATGGCTGATGGCTGACAGACAATGAAATCATAGTTGTGCGATGTATCAGAGCCAAAAATAGCTGTCATACTTTGAGCTGTGATGCCGTAATCAACAACATGTCTGTTGAAGCCAGATCGGATTTGTTCCAGATCAATGCTTTGGTGTCATCATTTGTATAGTTGTTTTTAAGTACGATTTGGACAAACCTATATAAGCTGGTATTACATGAATCTCTCTCCTTATAAATAAGAAGTGATGCGTAATTACAGACAGAGAGAAGAATGATATCTATCACAACACAGAGATTTTACGTGTGCAAGAGGTTAAAATTAAATATCGTAGCAACTATCTGATCAGTAATCAACTTTAGCCAATAATTTGAGTTTAGATATGGGATTTAGTATGGGGAGAGAACATGTGGCATTGATGCAATATAGACATAATAGAGGCTATTATTTTCACACAACATCCAGCTCACTATATCCCTCACACACAGCTGTCCAAAGCCAAAACACATGCTCACAGCCTGCTACTCTTATGGATAAAACACATCAAGCCTGAGAGATAGATCAGAGGTCTGCAGACTGCTGACTCACAGCAGTGCCCTCTGGATCCACTTCAACTACAGAGAATGCAACAAACATTTGAATGAGAGTGAAATTATATATGAGTATTATTTTGACATTAAAATGACTCAAACTTTCTCAAGAGAAACTTTTTTTCTATCTCACAAATGAAGGTGTGTCTGTTTTAAATGTTGTGTCCAAAAATAGCCACCATCTAAAAAAGTTGTCAGACAGACTCCGCAGCATGAACTACATGTACCATAACTGCAGTGGCTCTGATGCCCACTGGTTATTTGGGGATTTTACCACACAGTGTGCCATCTGCACGACTTCACTTCAAGCACAGACAACATTCAAACTTTCACCAAAACATTTATGACTTTGATCCCGCAGATCCAGCTCCAGCTCCAGCTCCATCTCATGAAACGTACCTGGCTTTTTTCTTTTGTGAGGATGGCTTCACACGCTTGCTCCTCGCTGGGCTTATAGGACCAAACCTGAAACGGCTCAACCTGGTGCGTGGAAACTGCATGGTGGATCCGAGCCTGCTCACCAATACCTCCTCTCTGCCTTTCATATCCACAATGCTAAAGGAATCCAGGGATTACAATCCGGCACCAAAACCTAGCTTCATCCAGTCCTGTTGGTTGGACACCATGTGAGTGTGGTGTAAATCTGTCCGCTGCTCCAGTTTCTCTGTGCGGTGACAGAACGTGTTGTTGTTCACTGAGGCTTTGGGGCTGAGTGGAGCTGAAGCTGGAATGCAGGAGGGAGTGACGGCTTCCGGTATATTAACACATCATTCACACCTGTCCCCTCCCTCGTCACCCTGAGTGGATACGCCCTGCCTGCATGCCTCATGGCCATCCCATCTGGTTCAAACAAGAAGCTTTGACACATTTAAAAACTAATCAAAAAAGGCCATGGGCTGTAAGATAATAAAGACGTGTTAAAAAAGAAGTGTTAGTCCAGGCCTCATAGACATACACGATGAATTGTTTAGCCACAAGGGTAAAAGCTGACTGCACTCACATGATTACCTCAGGCACTTTATTGACCTTTTAGTGAAAGCTACACAACTTAACGTGACCTAATTGATCAAGGGTTCTTTGTTGAATAAATGAGGCACGTGTTCACCTCTTTGCTGTTACTGGAAGAATTAAGTAAATCAAACGGATAAAAGGATGAAGATTCTTTCTTCTTTTCAAAACTCTGTGGTTGAGCTTGCATTGCAAGCAGGTAATCTCAAAGCAAATAGCACATACTTATGCTGTGACAGCTCATGACGTGGTATGTTCAATCGAATACTACTTAATGCAACACTCATAGCTTACGTCCTTGCCCAACCTCATACCTGAGCTCTTGACCTAAATAGTTCACGTAAAGCTCAGGTGGCTGAGTGTGGACGCGATGTGGCAAGAGGCAGAGAACATGCCTCAAGTTCCTCAAGTGCAACAGGTCTGTCAAGATTGACCGTGAGCGGCACTGCAACCCCTCAAACCCTTCCCCAAATCACTAACTCATCATCACTTTTTCAATTCTCACTTATAATGCTGAAGACAGCCTATATATCAACTGAGGATGTCAACAAACAGAAACAGATGCCTGGTGAGAAAACCAGTTACTTCAACGGCCTCCACAGTGTGTCATATGACTCGCTTTCTATTGCTTTCTGTCTAAAAAAATGTATCTGGGATAAAGGTTTTACATTTTGCCATTATAGAGATAAAAAATTGTCTGGAGCCAGACTAATAACTAAAATGACCTCAAACTAAGTGTGCCAACCCTCTATGGAATACACTCAGAGGACAGACTATGAAGAGGAGAAGTAAAAGCAGCACTGTCTTATTTTTAAACCTGCTGATAATTTTCTTCACCACGCCAACACTTTATAAAGCTCAGCCACAAAACAAAACACATGCTACTTTGTAAATAGACAATTGAAAACAGGGACTACTGAAAATGTCAGGGTGTTGGGATTGTTTCTTGTTGAATGGGCCCCAAACCAACACAGGGAAAGCAACAGGAAGCCATCCACTCTGAGAGAAGAATGAACAAAATGTCAAACCGTTGTGTTACGTTCAAACTCAGCGTGGTGGGAAACAACACAAAGTAACCCCCATCCAACCAACTCTGGTCAAGAAATACGGTAATTCACTTGGAAAAGCTGCTCGCTTTGAAAGCAACACTGTGTTTAATCCTCGTGGCTGAATTCCATGGCAAGCCTCTTAGCTTGCAGAGAATGCAACAGTTTGCTCACACAGCCTTGAGAATGTGTTTCTGCCATACAGGATCTGTCCATTGATACAGAAAATCATAAACGCAGAAAGAGATCCACAGTCTACGACATCCCTGAAACAACTGCAAAAAAAGCATCAAAACGTGGACACTAAGAATGATAATCAGAGTGGTGAACTAACTGTCCAGTAAAAATAAGTCAAACTAAAGTTTGGAGTCACAAGGAAAATATTTTTTTAACAACCTTGCTGAGCACCTGTTAGCCTAATAATAGTGGAGTCGCTTAATCCATACATGAGCTTCAAGTCCCAGCACCCCTGAGTCCACGGCGGCAGCAGAGGCCTGATCCTACCTGGCCTTGGCCCACGCGATGGCTCTGCCCGTGAGCAGCAGCAGGGCTGCAGAGCCGCTTCTCCCCCACGGCATCCTGCTGTTGTCCCCCCAAACCACTGCAAGCTGTAGGAAACAGCAGCCGCCTGCCCCTGGCAAGCTGGGTTCCTTGTAATCTCGTCGGTGCACAAACACATTAGAACAAGGACGGTCCTCCCTGGGCTGGTAGGCACGTCACTACATTGCATCCTGGGGCAGGAAAGGAGGTCTGCATGGAGGGTGGGGGGGGGGGGCCCGGGAAGAGAGGAGCTGAGTGGTTGAATAGCTGACTTGGGCTGGGACACCGACAGAGGGAAGACCCTGTCTGAATGGCTGGAGCTGAAGGGATTGGGCATGGGGAAACAACAGCTGCATGCCTGACTGACTGACTGGCCGGCTGGCTGGTTGGACGGCTCGACAAACTATTTGGAAAAGTTATGCCGCGGCTCACAAAAGTGGAAATTCCTTCCACATCCTTTGTAGTTAGTGGACACATTCTCACTCTGCGTTTACTGATTTACTCAAACTCAAACACAGGAATCTGCTTGACCTCCATCCTTTTGTCTCCACGGTTGTCATCAGAGTCTATGATCCACTATACTGACACTTATTTACAGCAGGGCTGAATATCAATGAACAGCAGGAAGGTCTCAGCTTGTCCACAGACACATTTAAAGGCAGACACAGAATAACAGCGGCTCTTTTTAGTTTAGTCGTTGTACTCTGCATGGATGCGAACAAACAGCCAAAAGATCTAGCAGCTGTGGCTAATACTAATTTAACTCCAGGCCTAAATGTTCTCTGCTGCCTGTTATTACAATTGTATTGTAGGAACAATTCTACCTACCTAAAATTGCTCTTTCAACATTACTGATGGAATGCATTGATGGGATTTTATTTAGTAACGTATATATACAGTGTTCTCAATATCACGTACCATGCCCTTGTGCATGAAATGTGCTATACAAAGAAATTAGTCTTGCCTTGTCTTGCTTTTTCTTGGCAACACTTGACAGACACAGTGAATGTGTGAGGAAAAATAATTTTCATTTGATTTGAAAAGGGCACTTTTACACTTAAGATGGTAGAGGCAGTAAAGGTCCCCCGCTCCTAGATCCCTCTAGGTGAAATTCTGCCGCTCTGACCTCTGTCCTTTAGCTGCATTTCTACACTGGTGGGATGATGCACAAAAGGTTACTTGGTGCTGAACTGAGCTGAGACAGATGTTGGGTTCATTATGACGTCATAATAAACCTCAAAGTAAAATTCCAATGAGAATTTGTCTCACTAGGACAGAGCCTTGAGAGCTCAGCAGTCATAACTGGACTTTGTGCCACAGCAGTGTTGGGTAATCTTAAGATTATAAGAAATCTAGACACTGTTTCTAGAAACATATGTGAGCAACTCAATGGTGTAAATCTGATAATGTGACATGGCAGACTGTGTACATAGCATACTTTTTAAAAATCCCTGGGACATTGAGAAGATTTGCTATCCTTACACAAGGCCTCCACAAAAACTCAGTGGTGCAGGGCCATGGATGACGATGGTCTCCTGCTTTGACGTGTTTACTTGTCACTAATGTCCTGATTTTAAAGGACAAATAGAAGGGCACTCTGAGATCACAGATCTCCACCAAGGCCAATCCTCTCCAAAATATAATGGTTTCTTTCTTGCCCCGTGCTTCACCCTTCCTTCAAAAGTCGGGCCTGTTGTTTTTCCATAATCCTGCTGACAAACTCGTTATTGCTCTTCCCAGTTCAGAAGCCCTGATGGTGTGCCCCTGGCCCACTTTACATTGTATTAACTGCACTGACCCAGTGAAGCACTACAATATACATTCATTTCAGTGGGCAGGTTTGTTTTCATTCAGAAACAAACATGCCCACTGAAATGAAAACCTTATTTGTACTTATAAGTAACTGTTAAAGTCAATCTAATCAGCTCCGAGATGAAGTTTTCTGCACAGTACTGTCCACTATAACAATGCTATCTTAGATAACAAATCCAATTGTACAGTTTATAACTAGTAAACTAAATACAGAATCAATTTCATTTGGTATGGCTGAAATCCAATGGGGCTCCTCTCTGTACAGTGTAAGGGACTGGTGGGATCAGTATAGTCTGGCTCAGCTCTCTGGCAGTTTGCCTTGTCTCTTCACTCAGTTTGTCTCTAACCAGATCAATACAGATTAGGGAGACCACGGGGATCCCTAGGGTTTGCCTTCCTCACCAGCTCTTTCTCTTCTCGCGATAGGTTATTCCTCACCCCTCTCGGAGACTTCACCACAGTCTAAAACAATGAAGTTGTCTCTGTGCTATCCCCAATGTTGTGTCTCTCAGTCACTCTCTTCACTCTCACCTTGATTTCAGTCCAGTAAAACCATCGTATCTGCTCTCCTGTAACTTCCCTCATGCCACATCCTTCCTTACAATGTTTCTTTCCTTTCTCTTGAATCCTCTCTGACTGTTGTTCCTGGTGAGTCAAGCCCTTTCTCACCATCACTGACAATCCCCCTTCGCTGACAGATATGCCTAGAGGAAAAGGAGAGTGGAGAACGTGATGGCATGTCACCTTGTGACAGATGGCATGTGACAGCCAGCTCAGCCTCAGGGCCTGCTGTTCCACCTCTTGGCAAGTAGAGCACGGCGAGGCGAGGAGAGGGGAGCAGTGTAGAATACAGGAGAGAGCAAAATGACAAAAAGAGAAACGAGGGCAAATGCTGAAGGAGGAGGATTATACAGGAGTGGAGGTTACAGGAGAGGAAGGAAGATGGCGAAGAGGGATGGAACATGGAACAAAAACCCCAACGCCACGATCTATTGCATTAGCACTGTTGGACTGATGCTAAATGTTTAAAATGTGAGGAGAAAAGAGAAACGTGTCCCCTGACACACTGACGCTTCCAGATGGTTTGACTGACAAGCAAATTGCGACAGAGCCAGAAGGATGCAGCCTGTCACTCATACCAAAAACTCACACACATTAAAAACAAGGCTGGATGCCAGCATGCTGTATATGCTCACACGAGTACAGACACACAGAAACAAAGGAGGCGAAGTAACTGAGACAAACTGTGTCCTCAAATGAAGGAGTTCATTTTAATACAACTGATGCAAGTTTGTTTTCAATCCAATGACCTCAACACTGTCCCACATCAACAAACGGAAATACAGTAAGGAGCAAATCTGTGGTGAAAAATGTAGTCACAAGGACAAAAGATTTTTATAGGATAACAAAACAAGTCATTTATCTTATGCACACACGTCCCAGCACCCGGCATGGGTGTTCCCGCTCATCATTGTTTATTGTTGCAACGTTTGGCATACTAATTCATCTGAGCGATGTAGCTGAACCTGATCTGAGAGCACAGACTGGAAGTGAGTTGGGGGAAAGCTTCAATTATCTGGTCATTTGTATCATTCAAAATATGTCGCTGTGCATAATGGGTGCAAAGGGTAAAACAACATTTTGTCATCCCATATTACTGTGCATCACTGATGTTTTCATTCTGTCACAAATGTTCTTCTGAAATGATCTCAAAAGAAGCAGAGGTCCTGTAATTGATTTCAGTGGGTTGAATCTTTGCACTATTTCAAAATGAGCTCATTATGGAGGTTTTTAAATGAATTGTGTGAGAAAAATTATAACTTCCAAAAAACCTCAATAGTTACGGCAACTGTTGACTGAAAATACGCACAGATTCAGCTTCTATATTTCAGACTTGTTTACGAGACTATTGTTGATCTGGTAGATTTACAGGCCGGACGAGTCTATAAAGATAATAACCACCTTTGGTCTTTTGGCATCGCCTCATATGCTCTAAAAATATGTGATATATGACTATATGAACTCATATGTCACGCCTTACTTGACATCATCAGCCAGGTATAATTTTATTACTTGAAACGCAAGTTACAAAGCAGGCAGTGAGCATGTTCTCCACAGAGATGCTATAAATGGACTTCTGACTTAGACTTATATGATCATAAAAAACATGATAAATGATTGAAACATGAACTGTAGCATGTAACAATACCTCTTCAGGTTAAACTAACTTCCTTGACCATATCTATTCCACAAAGGTAATGGTAGCGACTCTCATTATCTTCTTTAAGTTATTCTATCATATCTTTTCAATAATTACATGTTTGTGAATCCAGTTCCTCTTTTGGAAGCAGATTTCATATTGCGTCATCCAAAACATGTATTACAAGAGCAGTAGTACTTTGCACTGACTCTTACTATTTAAGCTTAGAGGCATACACCCCTTTGCCATTTTTCTTAAGCTGTTATATTAGTATTGGGGTAGCATGTAGTTTTCTAATTGACCTAAAACAACCCTATTAGCCATGTGTTCTCTTCGTTGTACACTACTGACAGTGAGCTGAAAAAATCTGAGGTAAAACTCCCCAATACTATAATAATTCCTAAAAGCCTGAATGTATCTGCAGGCACCTTACGCAACATGCCATGGATGCCATGTCTGCAGCCAAACAAAACATTTCATTTTCTGAAATTAACAACACTAAACAGTAGCTAATAGTCAAGCATATCATATCTATACTGATGCAAACATGTATGCATTATCTTTAAAAATGAAATTAGGATGATTACTGCGGCATAAATATATTGGGCTAATGAAATACATTGGACATGCAGCTGTAACAAATCATCTTATGTAATTCCTTTCATTGACTGACATGTTTAAAGAGCTACCCCAATAAATCAGCCAGGCCGATGTATTGGCTTGTTGCTTACCAAACGATAAGTAACTAGAGCAAGAAACAGTGTCCTTCAGAGTCCGCCTATATTTTTGGGTCACAATTATTTGATAACAAAAATTAGGAAAAATGCTTATATGTTATGCGGAAAATAATGAATATTGGTAGGGTTACCTTTTTTAGTTCCTAAATATCAGTATGGGACTCAAAAAGTAACTATCTGTCAGGCTATAGTGCGAGGAGGGCTGAAACAATCCATCGTGCACAATATTACAACAATAAACTGCAACGAAATCCACAGAAATACTTGTTTCTTCTTCTGCGTTTCTGAGCTGAACACATGCAGGAAGAAAACCACGCCCATAACAACAGGTCCCTAGCAACCAGAAACGCTTCCACGAGCGGAGAACAGAAACACAAAGACAAACGACAAAACACGTGAAACCACATCAGTCCAGGTATTGGATCTGTTCATAATTCACACAACCTCTTGTTCAAGATAACATCAGCGTTATTCATCAGAAAATTGACTTTTTTTAACAAACTATAAAGGGTTAGCTGGCTAACAGAAAACAAAGAGATCCACTAGTTAGGGTGACGGAACCCGTTCACGTTACCTGAGGAAACACCGTCGGTACCCCCGGTGTGCGCAGGCTCGACTGAGCGTGAGAAGAGGATGTTTCCATATATATCATGTACAGCGATGAGTCTCGCTGTGAGCGGTGACAGCACAGATGGAGAGAAGTGGAGCGCGTCCTGCCTTCACAGATGGGATGAGTGAGGCTGCTCTCCTCCGATAACCGGCCACGCTATCCTTCACACCTAGCGGCTGACGTCACCACGCTGGGCCTCAACAATAACAACAACAACAACAACAACAACAACAGTGCCATATGACCAACTCTGGTTTTTACAACGTTTCCCTCTTGGTTATTTTTTAATAGCTCAACAGGAGAATAATGGCTTAATGGAAAACACTGACTCCATCTGCATGCAAATCGGTGCTCTCTTGTCATTCCTGAAATTAAAAAATAATTTTTTTAAACCATTTAATTATCTTCTTTCTTCTTCTGTTCTGATGACTGTGGGTTATACATTTTTGTACTTCTGCTTAATTCGTCTCTTATGTGGGACATATACTTTTGAACTCTGAATACTGCATTGTGGACAATCATTAGAGGTGGCATGTGGGTGGGTTATAGGGGGAGGATGTTGGAGAGGTGAATGAACTATATGTGTATGATACAAGATGCAGCTAAAGGTCAGATCACTTCCAGTAAGCACACTTCATGCTGATCATTTTCAGTCAGACTGGTTTTTCCAAGGTTAATACAGGATCTTCAAGCTCTCAATCAGCAATGGGTCAACTATTTAAAATGGGCTGTGTGAAACCCCAGCTGACTCAAGTTTAGACCATCGCTTCCCTAAACACAGTTGCAGCTGTGCAAAAATGCTACATGCTTATTTTTAGCCATGCTAGCAGCAGGGCTCCAGATGGCAATGTCATTGGGTCAGTTGGTCCACCACATTGGTCCGGACTGTAATATCTCAACACCTGCTCGACGGATTGACATGAAAATTTGTACAGACATGTATGGTCCCCTCAGGATGACTTGTAATTAATTTGATGATCCTCCATCTTACATCTACCAAACCCATCTGGTCACGACTTGACTTTTTGTATTTGGTTCATGAAGAAATACCAGCAAGACTAATGACATTCTTATCAGCCTCAGCTGTACTTAGCATGCTAACACCCTCAAGATGTGTTAGCATTTAGCGCAGGTCTCCTGAAGTGGTCTCAAAGCTGCCAGCATGGCTCTTAGTTTTGTTTTATTAGGGTCAGTGGGTGATATGTTCATATTGGTTATATATATATTGTCTTTGAATGGGTTTAGTAAATTGAATTAATACACTTCAAACAACCAATGGAAATGTAATCTACATTGTTTTTAAAATGTTCACATGAGGGTGTGTCTATGTGTTTCACATCTCATCACTTCGGCCTCCTCACGGCTGTCACAGCACTCGTAAATCACTCACGCAGCTGACACAGTACTGCAGCAGGAGTTATTTATTTGTAGATATCTCATTCCCAACATACTGTAGCCTGACTCATTCACTCCACCCCTGCAGTGTGTCCGGCTGCAGCTTTCAGGTGGAAAGATCATTCCTCCTGGTCAGATACATTCTCTCTGGCATCCTGTTTTTGTTTTCATTGTCCTCTCTGCCTTCTTGCAGACAGTCCAGTTCATTCCAGGGTTTTGTGGATGTGTGTGTGGGCAGGAAAAAGAGAGAGAGAGAGAGAGAGAGAGCGAGAGAGAGAGAGAGAGAAAGAGAGAGAGAATGTGAGGAGGAAAACACACCGACAGAACGAGGCAGAAAAAACAAAAGACAGAGAGACACAGCGATAGAGAGCACAGAGGGCCTGTAAAGCAGCCCACTCTCTTCCTGCCATTGTTTCATCTCAGGGACCCACATGTCGGGCCACTCCTCCTACTGCTGCTCTGCGTTTCCATGGAGACAGAGAATATTGCCTGCAGATGATTGCATCCCCCGCTGAAAGGCAATAATACAGAACGACCTGGAAATCTGACTGTTGACAGAGCAACATGGAGACAATTCATATGTGGTTTCACTCAAGAAATAGAAATACGATAGAAATGTGAGTGAGTTTTTTTCCCCGTTGCTTTGTGTGGTTTGATACCTTGTTGCTGTCCAATGAAAGCCATGTATCTCCAAAAGGTCTTTTCATGAAATAAGAAATCTAAATGAATCCTGCTGACTTCAGTGATCACCTGACTTTTCATATACAGCCACATTGAGGTACAGTTTTGTGGTTTTGATGGATTGCCATGAAAAGTGGATCATACATTCACGTTAACGTTTGAGATGAGCTGACATTTCATCCAGATTTCATCATCAGCTCAACATTTACTTTGATTTATTACCTGCAAAACTAATGACATTCTCATCAGCCTCAGCAGCACTTTGTGTTCAGTACTAATTTCACTAATATTAGCATGCTAACATTGAACCTGCTAAACAATGCTGACAATTAGCTCAAAGCACCACTGAGTCTCAGCACAGCTTCACAGAACCACTGTCGACTCTTCGACCATCGATCATTTATACCCTCAGTTTATCCTGAAAACCGTAAAATGACAATATGTGGCCATACATGGTTTTCAATGGACAGCAACTATATGTGAGTTGGGGAAAGGTAAAAACAAGTGCATGCATTTTTACACCTGCGCATGGGAGTGTTTGTGTGCATGCATGCAGGAACTCATCACAAGCTTGACGAATGATTGATTGATACCCTGTTTGCAGAGAGGAATGCTATCTGTGCTAGCGATGAAGTTAGCCTCCTTTAACACTGAGCCACAGTTCAGGCCAGAGAAAAGCTTATTTGCATTAATCTGAATAAAATGTTGATGTTCAGGGATATCTTTACATGGTCTCACACACTGACACATGTGCATTGAGCTGGATTGCTAAATTCTTGAAGGCCCTCAGCTGGTTTAATGTAGTGCACCTTGGAAAAGGGCCAGACCTCAGCTGTCTACTCTCTCCGGCTCACGTCACCACAGCACGTGAAACAAGGCCTGCTTACGTGGTCTAGTGGATTATGCTGTGAACAGAAGCTTTTTGTTTCTGTGTAAAGACTGACTCAACAGCATGCATAGTCATAAGGTAACATAATTAAGTAGCAAGAAGGCAAACTGTATCTTTTCTTAATAACATTTCTGGTTGCAAACTCAGGACAGGAAAATGTCACCAAGCAGCAAAAATGACAAGTCTCTTGCCTAAAACGAAAAATAAATGTCTTGCCCTAAAGTAAGAAAATACATTTTTAACAAATAGTATTCATCATTGTATTGACAGTCCAGGTTGATGTTAATATGTATATTTGTCAATGAATACATTCAGATGTTTTTTGTCACAGCCTACCACAGCTGATTTTATTTACTTAAGATTGGGGATATTTTCCTGCTGTTAGTTTACAAAGAAGAGTTTTAACAAGAGCGGGTCGATTACATAAATTCACAGACAATGGACGTTATTCAAGTATAGGCCTAAAATCGCTTGCTATATTTAGCCACTTCCATGGTAATATCCTGCTTTAGGATTAACCCTGATTTTAACTAAGTCCAAACAACGTCTTTGTGGTGGGATGTGAGCTCAGCAGCACGAGTTCTGATGAGGTTTGATTGGGGAATTAAATGACAATTGTTTGAGCAATTACATAATTATTAAACAATCATTTTAAAACTGGGATCAGAATGATAAGTCAGAATGAACTCCATACTCAAACTCACTTCTTGTCAAATATTCTGGTGTCATATCAAAACAATTAAATATTAACCAATATATATAAACTGTTGCAGCCACCAGCCCTGTGGCTGCTCTTTTCTCTCCTCTCCCACGGATGAACACAGTAGTTTTGATATATGTATCACTAGTATATTGTGAGTAAGGGGTATATTGTATGCAGAAACACAATGCAACAAAATACAAAGAGTCATACCAGTGTTTTTGAATTTGAACATAAATCCTATTATACAGTAATTTGTCATCGTCATCATGTCATTGCAGAAGAAATAACAAATGCATGAGACTATACATATTAAAATGGCTGTCCATGGCAAATTGTTCATTTAAACAAAGAAATGTAAGAAAGCAATACTGGTAACACCAGCAGAACATCAAGAGCAGATACTGTATATGATGCATGCATATCAAGTCACAGTCCTTTGCATAATTGAAATCTGTGTGTCAATTTAAAATGTTCTTTGTGATTGACATACAGAAGTTTTAATAAGGCAATTGCACGTGATGTTCTGCATGTTCAGTTTATATCAATACTGTGTATTAAGTCATCATGGTGCATTCAAAGGCAGTGCAGCAGTTTATTCACCAGTAGTAGAAACTGTATGAGTGGGCATTACTACCCTCAGTGTCCCTTTGTTGCTCATGTGTGTGGGGTAACACCACACCAGCGCCCCCTGTGTCATAATGTGGGAAAAGTCAGCACGTCAACAATTTGTAGTCTATACACTACAGGAAGTAAAGGCACACAGACTGGTAAGTGTTAATGGCACAATACATGATATCGGCAACATAAATGTTGGTACTGTTTAAGTGACTGCAGCATTTTTTATCATTGTTTCAAATATTGTATATGTAATTAATAATATGGCCACTAGAGGGAGCTCTTATCATTCAGTAAAATGAGAGTGAACGGCATCATATTGTTGCTAAACTTTACTAACAATGGGGGCCATTTCCAGTAATTACGTTTTTCTGCATTAACTGTCTCCATCGAATCTAAATAGAAGTAGTGATTTTCAGTATATTTATATTAAATGACGTGGTTTCTCTTGATCTATCCTGGAGAGATTCAACTGTTTTTAAACTAATGTTTGCTCATTACTTGTTCCAAGTGCAGCTGTTTACACTCTGGAGTCTGAAGACAGTGATAAAAAAGCACCAGTCTCATGTGTGAACTGGTTGATTTTTGATCTCACTAAAGGCACTACTTGACTGCAAACACATGTTTAAGGTGCAGCAATGACTTGCAGGAATAGCTGCGGAGGGAATGAGTGCA